TTTCCGAATTTCTTTGTTCATTTCTTCCTTTAGCCCTTTAAGCATATTTAACACATGAATTGCCATGTGAGTTGGATTTAACTCACGCCAGTTTTGAGCCCGGGCCCTTGTGCAGCATGTGTGGCTCACACGTCTCTCCACCTTGGGAGCCTCAAGAACTATTTTTCAAGTTGCTTATCACTCATGCACGGAAAACAATAAAAAATAACAAAATTTTCATTAATTAGAAAGGACTGTTTTGTTTTTGAAGTTTTTATTCTATTTTTGTAATAAAACACCATGGCCCCAAGGAAAAAAAAAATTTTTTTCTAGTGTGGTAGTCAGTGTGTTAAGACAGTATCTTAGTCTTTTGTCTAGTGAGTTCAGTGTCTGGGCTTCTTTAGGGACAGTGTCAATTAATTTTCATCCTTTGGGCTTTCCCTGTTCCTTTGCATGTCTTGTGGTTTTTTTCTTTGAAACCTGGGCATTTCCCTATTACAATATGGTAACTCTAGGTATCAGATTCTCCCCTTTCCCAGGGTTTTCAACTTGGTTTATTTTGTTAAAGGCTATCATCCCTTTGAGACTTTTCCAAACTAATTTTACAAAAGACTTCCTTTTTATGTGTGATCATTTAAGTCTCTGTTCTTTTTATCTCATTTTCAGCTATTTTAACAGAAATTCCCTTAAATGTCAGGAGTTCTCCAGTTTTTTCAGGTTGGCTTTGTGCCAAGGCAACCCTCCAACTCTTAGGCTTGCACTGAGCTTAGGGACCATGCTGAGGTGACACCTTAGGTCCTAGAACTTTTCTGAGTGTCTTCCCTGGGCATGTTTGTGACATTTTAAATCTCCCTTGTATATATGACTGTTTTTGAATGTCCCAATTTCCCAAAGTCTTACCCTGGCTCCTCCTCTGGGTCGTAGCTGCTCTATTTTATGTCTCTATCCATAACCTCTTGCTAGAAGCATCTGTGAGTCCTTGCAGCTTTTACAAGTCCCCACCTTTCCAGTTAGGCAAAATAAAGATGAGTACCTGTGTTAGTCCTTCAGGCATCCCCAGAGTAGAAAAAACATACACAATAATTTGCAAATAAGGTCTGTTCTGTTTCCTCCACTTCAAGGGAGGGACCTGGGAACTGGCCTTCTGCTGCTTCAAGAACAAGATTGGCACTGTGCCAGGGAGGGGTGGGGCAAGAGCCAGTAAAAATAAAAAAAATAAAAAAATCACAAAACTTTCCTATTGTTTTAAAGATAGCTTTCCTTGATTGGGCTTTCCCTTGGTTGCTGTAAGACTTTGACTGTTTTCTAGCCCTTTCACAAGTTGGTTCATGCAGCTGTCGCTTGTTATTTTCAGTGTTTCTTGGGGGAACAAGAGCTTGGAGCTTCATAGCCCGCCATTTTGCTGGCAGCACTCAGGTCAATCGTGTTTTACTCCTGTCTGTAATTCTAGTGTTAGGACAGGACCTGAGTAGAGTGTGTCTATTAACTATGCGGCGTTTGAATTTTGGTTAGCCAGAATTAGAAAAATGTTAAGACAGTGGTCTCAAAATTCTTCTCCATCTGCTCGTTTGCATTTAACATCAATGTTAACATCAATGTTATATTTTCTTTCAATTTCTTCTAAATTAATGAATCTTGCATTCTTTTTTTCCTGGCTATGATGACAGTCACTAAGAACATAAACTTTTATAAAATCTGATTAAGAAATGAAAGTGTGGCCAAGCATGGTGACTTATGCCTATAATCCCAGCACTTTTGGAGGCAGAGTCAGGAGGATCACTTGAGCCCAGGAGTGCGAGACCAGCCTGGGCAGCACAGCAAGACCCTACCTCTACAAAAAATGAGAAAAATTAGCTAGCTGTGGTGGCATGCCCTTAAAGTCCTAGCTATGTGGGAGGCTGAGGCAGGAGGATTGCTTGAGCCCAGGAGTTTGAGGCTGCTGTGAGCTATGATTCTGGCCTGGGCAACAGAATGAGACCTCACCTCTTAAAAAGAAAATAAAGTGGTCCATATACTCTGTACCAAAACATTAAATGACATCTATTGGCTTCTGCCAACATTTTCTACTTTGTAGTAGTATATGTTCTTGTAACCTGTCTTCAGTTGTGGCATAAGACAGAAGTGAAATATTTAAAACAAAAATAACATGTTTTGCACATAGTTGACTATTCTGCCCTGTATAGGGCCAATATTAACTTTCTGGTAACACATTCTTTACATAGTAGAGGTGCTAATTTTCTTCATTTAATAAGGATGTTATTACTGGTGCTTATTACATTTTATTATTTTAGCATTTTCACTAAACCAACTCATAGGCAGTTTCTACAACTAAAAATGGAGGCAATCATCTAAAATTTCATGATTTCTCATCCAGAGTATTTGAAGTCTTCTATTCCCATTAAAACTGAATTTATGGCACTACAAACCTGGGCCAGACTGTGTGTGTATAAAATGACAAAAGCACATTTATTTTTTCTTGAAAATTTCTGTAGATTACATAGAAAGTTCTCAGATTTTTAAAAGTTTATTTCTATTGTATAATTCTTTGCACTTTCACTTTGTTAAATTTGCAATATAAATCAGTGACAATCTGCTATCTGGGCCCCTACGTTGAGATATCCAGGTTTAAGCAAAATTGGGAGAACTGAAGTGAGGAGGCTTACTGGGCCCTGCTCCCTCTCCCTGCAGGGCGTGCCCTCCTAGGTCTTAGTCCCTCTCCCTGCAGGGCGTGCCCTCCTAGGTCTTAGTCCCTCACCCTGCAGGGCGTGCCCTCCTAGGTCTTAGTCCCTCACCCTGCAGGGCGTGCCCTCCTAGATTTTAGGGAGAGGGAAGGTGAGTACTGGGAACTAAGATGTGCACTGGCTGGTAAGGGCTTTCATCTGTCTGGATTGAAGGGAATGGAAACATTCCTTGACGGAGCCTTTTACAAAGCAAAGTGTAGCCGCAGAGTTTGCTTTGAAAATCAGCATTTTTGAATGTCTTGATTAAATAAACCATTCTGTAATATGATCTTCACTTGAGAGAAGGCCAGCAACTCAGGACTTACACTAACGGTACATCTTTACTTCTCTTTTTGTGCTTGCCTTGATTTTTTTCATGTGATCATTTTTTTGTTGTTGTTTCATAAAGGACCACAGTGGTTGTCATCTCTAGGAATTTAGTTTGTTTTTGGCTGAAACAATTATTCATTTAATGCTTATTTGCTTTTTTAAGACAAGCCTTTCAAAATTGTAATAAACTAGTTATTGTGCTTTAACTTTGGTTAAATTACTTACTATTCTCCTTCCACATAACCTAGAGGCCTTTGAGAGGCAGGGATGATGACTTTTGTTAGTACTATTGTTGTTTCTATTGGTTGCTTCTCCCCTTCCTAGGTGCACTAAGGTTGCAACCATGTAGCCAAATGATTTTATTGTTCGTAACAAGCTCCAAAGGCTCAGTTGCAACAACTTTGAGAAGTAACAAAGTATTTTATGTATTAGTTTGAAAAAGTAAAATAATCCATTCAATTCTCAGGCTCCTTTTGTTCATATTTTCAGTTTTAAAAATTGCTTTTCCTCTATTATTCAACCAACCAACTCTGGTTAATATAAGAGACTAAAAAAAATTTATAGAATGTTTGTCTTAAATGCTATATGAGTACATTCAAGGACTAGAATTTTGAGGTACTGTCTACTTGATAATGCATACCAATGTGAAATAATAGAAAAGTTAATAGCTAAGCAGCGATGGCTAAATATAAATATTCACAGATTAAAAGTTCTGATGACAATCAAACTTTTCTTTGGACTTTCTTCAGGAACTAAGATTTGTAATACCGGAAGAAAAAGGAATCTTTTAAGTATTTTTATCATATATATAAATAATGAGAAAAATCTTTTGAGGTAGAATTCAATAGAAAAGTAATAAAAACAGAAAAGCAGGAATGTTAATACATTTGACTTTTACTTACCCTGCAAGTTTTCTACCATCCTGTTAGAACTACTGACCATTACCAAAGTGCCATATATTATAGTATTAGGTAGGATATGCTAATGTAAGGATATCCCGCAACAAAGACTTAAAAGAAAAAAACAGCAGTGGCTTAAGCAAACCTAATGTTAATTTCTCTTATAAAACATCTAGAGGTAGGTAGTCCAGGCCACTTAACCACTTTGGTACGAGTGTCAACTATAGTCGAACGCGCACAGCCGAGCGTCGACTGTAGCCGACAGCCGTGATATGAAGGCGCACAGCCCAGCCTTGACTTTACCGTTAATAACAAAACTTGACTTTCTAATTTTTCATTTATCAAAATAAAATTGTGAACGTTTAAAAATAACGTAATGAAAACACTATTCTGATTTGCATGACAAGTAAAGCTGCCTATAAAGTCAAACAAGCTTTCAGTGCTTTCAAGCTTTCCTCATCACACAAGAGCAAACCGGATCCGCCGTCAACGCACCGCAGACTGCCGTGCGGACTGCGAGTGCGGCTGTGGGCGGTGAGCCCGCACCCAAGTGGTTAATGGCAGTGCTTCAACAAGGCTGTGCAAAGACCCAGATCCACGTGGGGGTTCTCTGCCACAAAGGGGTGCTGCCTCTGCAGGGTCTAGGACGGCTCACTACCAGATCCACATTCCAAGCAACAGGATGGAGAAAGGGGCCCAAAAAAAGGTCATGGACTTTTATAGGATACACATCATTTCCCCCTCACATTCTGTTGCCCAGAACAGTTGTCCCTACATGGGTGACTGACTGGTCAATGTAGTCTTTGTTCTGGGAGGCCTGTGCCTCACTGAAAAATCAAAGGTCCTACCACTATGTGCAAAGGAAAGAATGCATAATGAGGGAAAACTGGTGTTATGAGCACATCTATCATTCAGATATTTTTGCAATTAGAAATTCAGATTTGAAAATCATTCTATTAGGAATATGACAGCATTGACTAGCTAAAAGATACTATTCTCAGTTTTCATTTATAATGCATTAGTTTACTTCCTTTGTTCACCCACCAAAAGCAATGAAACAACACTATCTGAATGAGTTTCCAAGGTATGTTTTATTGGTATAAAACCAAAATTAGATGATATAATTCTCTGGTCTGCCAATTAGCTATATAGAACTAGGTGGAAAAAAAAGATTTTCTCTTGCAATTTCTTTATTGAGGCAAAAGGAAAACGTTTTACATATAATAAAATGCTGATTAGTCTTGGCAATCTATCTGACTGAACAAATTTAGAGTACCAAAACAAAAATAGTTAATTTTTACCAAGTAAAAAATCAGTAATAATATTGTTACAACTTCTGAAAAATTCATAAAATTGAAAAGCATAGAAAGATTTCTCAAACCAGCCATCTGTATATTTTTCTCCTTTATTAAGGGAGAAAAAAATGTCTTCATGATTCTGCTAAAAGATCATCTAGCAATACGGAGAGGCAGTTGTGGAATGTCCTCCATCTCCACTCTCTGATGAATTCCCTTTTGATCTTCCTATGCAGGAAGACTTAAAGTCGCGTTCACAGCCACAGGACCTGGTGGACACAGCTGTAGTCGGTCCGCTCCTGCCGGATACCAAAAGCTCTCAACTCTTGATCTGTGTTATGTTACATACAAAGTTGTGTTTCATCTAATGTATTAAAAACTACCGTGTGATCTTAGAGCATCAACCAAAGCTACAAAACAGACATATCTAAAGTACTTTTGTTTGAAATACACATATCCCAAGACAGAACCCGAAAGATACAGACTGCAAAAGCCACTTTAAAGATGGCTTTATTTAGATGGCCCCAGATGGATGAGCGCCATTATGGTCGTGTAGCTATGGAACAGGTCGTCATCCTTCGCCTCGTTACACTTCCTCAATATAAAGTTCCCAGTGACTATCCGATCACATCCAATCTCTCCATTTCCAAAGAAGCCAAATAAGGGAACGCTAGGAAAAAACTTTCTAAATGCATCAGCCTCAACGTTCCTCTTGGCTCTGTAGTGCTGGGCGCCCCTGCCCACACACGCAAACATGAAGCCGATGGTGTTCTGCTCCGGGATGTTGGCCGCTCTGAGGCGCTGCACTGCAGCCTCCGCAGTCTTCTCGTCGTTGACGTCCTCGTTGAGAAGCACAGTGGCACTCTGGATTCGGTGTCCACTGAATGACAGTCCAACCACACCAGTGGCATCAATATCCAGAGGGTTCCTGGAAAATTAAATGAGAAAAGTAGCAATATATCATGAAGCAAAATTAAAAATGTAAAGTATAAAAGAAAACTCCTTCTGATTCACTGGCGGGTGGCTGCTTCCTTTGGCAGCCTATAGTTAATCTGCGGTTCATCCTCCCACATAAGAGGAACAAGGGTTAAAAATTGAACTGTTAAAATTAATACATTAAAAGAATGCTGGCCGGGCGCGGTGGCTCATGCCTGTAATCCTAGCACCCTAGGAGGCCGAGGTGGGTGGATCGTTTGAACTCAGGAGTTCGAAACCAGCCTGAGCAAGAGCGAGACCTCATCTTTACTAAAAAAAAAAAAATAGAAAGAAATTGGCTGAACAACTAAAAATATATAGAAAATATTAGCCGGGCATGGTGGTGCATGCCTGTAGTCCCAGCTACTCGGGAGGCTGAGGCAGGAGGATCACTTGAGCCCAGGAGTCTGAGGTTGCTGTGAGCTAGGCTGACACCACGGCACGCTAGCCCGGGCAACAGAGTGAGACTCTGTCTCAAAAAGAATGCAGAAGGCAGATCAAGAGAAGCCACTATTTTTTTTCAATCACAAACACAAAGGGACAATGCATCTCCACAAAGATTTCTGAAACCCATCTTGGATCATTAGAAGGTATAGAGTATCCTTACCTTCCTGACTTCCTTAAAAGGAACCTTCTAATTCATATACGCAAAGATTAAATAAAACTTTTTGGTATTATTTATTTCATTAACATCTCCCCACCCCACCCTTAGCTATCAAATTCTGAAAGAGGTATATTAAAAATATTATCATGGAGGGTCGTTTTAACTATTAACTTTAGAAGTTTTAGCTTTGTTTGGTCCATTAGGAAGTCTTGTTCATTGCTTTGAGCCTAGAATTCAGCTTATTCTGATAGTAAAAACTCATGTTTTCTTTTTATATTTTTGTGATATTTTTAAATGAAATGTTTGATCCTTACAAAAGAAAATACAATGTTGATAAAGGTTATAAAGCATAATATAGTGGGCATCCACTGGAGGAGAAACAAGTGCATTACATTTCTATCATGTTTGCCGACATCTGAATCTATAAAATGGGCGAGATTCACTGGGTTAATGAGAAACTCAAGACTCAAACAAGTTAAGTGATGAAGATAATAAGGCTAACTAGTGGCAAAATCAGTCTGTGAAGAGCAAAATCCATCTTCAAAAGTCCTGTGCTGCTTTTTTATCACTTTTCCTCTTTGATACACAATTGTTAATGATGTTGTCAATATCTTACCTCAAAGAATTATTTACCTATCTTCTTGGGGGCAGAGGTAGGTTGGGTTATATGGGCACTCCATTGGCTTCTCTTACCCATTGATGCAGTATGAAGACCACATTAAAACTAATGTGTCACATAAGGAGTAAGGATGTTGGGAGGTGTATTTCCCATATTAGGTATAAAAAGTAGGTGATATACAAATAGCCACACTGTGAGGCTAGCACCTCACATGCTATAAGTCTAAGTGAGATATTTGCATTTCAAAGGTAAACTGGGTTAAGTCACCACTGCCCTATCTGTATAAAACTTGAAGGGAATCACAAAGTCAGGGAAGAAATTAGTCAAGAGGGGAAATGACCTCAGATATCAAGAATTAGGTGCGTGTATGCACAAAACCCAGTGCTCCATCTCCCACGCCCTGGGATTCAGCGCACTTGGCTTTGCCCCCTTCTTCCCCACTGGCAGTCTAGGGACCTTGGCTGTAGCTATTTGGTTTCCCAGATCATAGACACTACCAGGAGAGAGCCGATATTAGCATGATTTACACTGCTCTTACAGTCCTGATCTCCAACAGTCTGTCCCCATGTCACCCCTAAGAACCAAACATTAAACATAAATATAGTGAGAAACAAATACTAGTGTTTACAAATATTGGGGGTTGGGTGAGATCTCATTTTCCTGCTTTTGGAAACAATATTTATGTCCACTTGATTAGCTCAAACTCAAAATGTCACATACTTTTCATTCAAAATGGAAAGGGAGTAATGGCTCCCAAGATAGAAGAGCAAATATTTTTTATCTTTGAAAGCAAAAGCCTTAGTAACAAAAATCAAAATTCCACAATTTTTGAGCTTGAAGAAGCTTTCCAAAGATCCTAGTACAGAACTTCCAAAACTGTGTGCCAAGGAGTACCAGTGGGCCTGTAAAATGCTTGTGGGAAAAAGGTCTGTTACTTGAGAACTGCCACAGTTAGTATTACTCCCAAAGCACTGGGCATATCAGAGGCTGAGTTTTGCCACGAAGATCCACTTTAACCATGTATTTCTTTAAAGGAGGAAAGAGAACCCAAGAGGAAATGACATACTGAGTTCACACAGTGCCCCACAGTGGTTAGAGGAAAGATCAACAGACAATGTTGAAAATCAATTTTGAGAATATGAGTCCAATTAGGAAGTTCTTAAAGGACAATATACAAATATGTAATTCTTCAAGTGTAAGCAGAATTATGTTGAGTGAGCCCCTTAACCAACATCTACTGCAAAATGGAATGAACCTTAACAATTGTTTAAATGTGTTTTTTAACCACTTGGGTGCGGCGCTCACCGGCCACGAACCCTCGCCCACAGCCGCACTCGCAGTCCGCACGACGGTCTGTGCGGTGCGTTGACGGCGGATCCGTTTTGCTCCTGTGTGATGGGGAAAGCTTGAAAGCACTGAAAGCTTGTTTTACTTTACAGGCAGCTTTACTTGTAATGTAAATCAGAATAGGTAACATATACATGTGTTTTCATTACGTTATTTTTAAATGTTCACAATTTTATTTTGATAAACGAAAAATTAGAAAAGTCGTATCATGGCTGTTGGCTAAAGTCGACGCTCGGCTGTGCGCATCCATCTGTGGCTGTTGATAGTCAACGCTCCTACCAAAGTGGTTTAAAAACCGCAAAGTAACAAAAACCTGAGACCATTTCTGCTCACCCACAGAAGAAATCAGAGCTACACCAGACATACTTTTCAGAAGTCAGGGATGACAGGCTGTCCACCTGGCCCCCAGCCAAGACGATGTTCATGTCACTGAAAGTGCTGACAACTCGATGCAGGTAATTGCTGGCTCCCACCTTACAGCAATTGTAGCCAAAGACAAGGACCACACGAAGCTCAGGATTATCTAAAAGACCTGCAGAGAAACAAAGAGCAGCAATTGAAGACAGCCTTAAAACAGAAATTATTTCATACATGTTACAAAATAAAATGTTACTGACTTACACTTCTAGTTAAGTGCAATTTATTGGTTAAATCTGTCAAGTTTTCCATATTTTACCATTTTAATGCAAAAAAATCTTAGCTACAGTTTTTCCTCTGTGAAAAAATTAAATGGCTATTTGAAAGTAACACAATCAATGCAAATATGGAAGCAGCTATGTACTGAGCAGCAGCCTTTAGTGGACCACGGCACGAGCTGGGTCTACACAGGCCACTGCCCCGAGCGAAAGGGAACGCTGATGTACAGGGAGCAGGTTTAGCAGCATAGCTGCAAGGGGAATTTAAAGATAAAAAAAAAAGCAACAGTAGAGAGAAATGCTGCTAATCACCTGCAGTAGGGTGACTGGGTGGCCCCCAAAAGATACATCCACAGCAAATCCCTGGAACCCATGAACATGACCTTATTTGGAAAAAGGATCTTTGCAGATGTAATTAAGGGCCTTGAGATGAGATCATCTGGCTTATCCAGGCGGCTCTAAATCCAGTGGCAAGTGTCCCGACACTAAGAGATATAACGGACAGAGAGGCGGCGGCACTGTGATCGCAGAAGCAGAAGCTGGAGTGCTGCAACTGTAAGGAACACCAGCAGCACCAGAAGCAGGAAGGGGCAAAGAACAGACTCTCCCCTAGAGCCTCCCAAGGCGGCGCAGCCTGCTGACGCCCTCATCTCAGACTTCCGGCCTCCTCCTGGTAGTGACAGAACAAAATTTCTGTTGTTTTAAGACACCAGGTTTCCGGTACTTTGTTACAGCAGCCTTAGGAAACTACTATACCGCTGAGAAACAGGCTTCATAAGCCTTCTCCCAGGAATGGGGGTGACAGTGAAGGCAGGCTGGCCACTGGAGACTCCTTCCAAAGCAGGAAAGCGTCCAGTTCTGTGGCGTATGAACCAAAAGCCGCTGCCACTGAGGGGCGGAGAGTCTAGCGGAGACAGGCTGTGCTCACACTGCCCACAGCTCCTGGGCTCTCACCGGAGGCTCTGGCACCTTGTTTACAGACTGTCAGTTTGAAATGTGCCGGTATTGCCAGAGGTGGCTTTGGGGATAGGGAAAAAATCCGGAACCTAGCCACGCTTGTGTCTCCCCTTGACTCAGCTACATGACTTCCATCTTGACAGACCTAAGGTGAAGGTCCCCAGGCTCATTTACAGAAATGTGTGTGAATGACCATTTACTAACACCAAATAGTGACTTATTCTGGGAAACTGCCTCTGGTTTATTTCTAATTCTCTACACAGAAAATCACTGACTTGGACACTGAAATGAATATTAGTGCTTTCGTGACACCATATACCACAAACCATGACTACAGGGTCTTTTTTCCCTATAGACTACCCCAGTAAATTTCAAAAGAATATTTTTTTCCTTTTTAGAACAAATTTTCAGAGTTGGAAGAGGCCTGTGAGATCAACAATCATATTTACAAACAAGGATTAACAATCCCAGAGAAGTGACTAACCCTAGCACAATATCATGGCAGACTCTAGATCAGATTAAAACTCTTATCTCCTGACTTTCAGAGCTTTAGGTTTTAGAAACCTAAAGACTTCTAAATCTGTCTTTCCTACTGTTTTCTAAGCTCCAGATGCTCTTTTACAGTTGTCTACTAAACAATTTCATCTGAACATTCATTCTAAAAACACTACCTTCATGCATTTTTTTTGTTTTGTTTTTTTTGAGACAGAGTCTCGCTTTGTTGCCCAGGCTAGAGTGAGTGCCGTGGCATCAGCCTGGCTCACAGCAACCTCAAACTCCTGGGCTCAAGCAATCCTACTGCCTCAGCCTCCGAAGTAGCTGGGACTACAGGCATGTGCCACCATGCCCGGCTAATTTTTTCTATATATATTAGTTGGCCAATTAATTTCTTTCTATTTATAGTAGACACGGGTCTCACTCTTGCTCAGGCTGGTTTCAAACTGACCTTGAGCGATCTGCCTGCCTTGGCCTCCCAGAGTGTTAGGATTACAGGCGTGAGCCACCGCGCCTGGCCACCTTGATTCATTTAACACACACCCAACATCTTCTCCAGTGGTGCTGTTCTCAGCTTATGGAACCCCTGCACACACACAACCTGGAAAGTGGAATCACACTCCCTGACACCAACGTAAAGAATAAACGCACCTAGGCTAAGACCGGCTGCCTGCCAGACCAGGCTCTTATGTTTAACCAACAGACTGGTGCTTCAGTTAAAACAGAGGAAAGGTATAACTCAAACTTTTTGCCACTCAAAATTGAAAGGCCTGAGGAATGAGAGCAAGATGGCGGACAAGAAACACCGCCAGACAGAGTGTCTCTGCAAAAAAGATTCTAGCAGAACTTAGAAGAAAGAAGCAAGAAGGCAAGCATACAGTGGATGAGGGTCGGAAGGAGGGGTATCTGAGACCACTGGGGACTCCACAGCAGGAGGTCGCGGAGGAGAACTGGAAGCCAAGACCGTTGGAGCAGCTCGGAGACCAGCAGGAAGGGTAGGTAGATTGGCTGTTTCCCCTCCGCTGCATCTGGGACTGCTGGTGGGCGCCCCAGCAGGTGGAGAGACCTGCGGACACCAGCCCAGAGACGGCCGCTGCCAGTGAGTGGTAAGCCTGTAGCAGAAGTGGCACCAGGCTCCCAACTCCCGCGGGCACCTCCCTGTGCACAGACCCGAGCCACGAGGCAGGCGCCACATTGCCTCATTCTCCCCTCCCCCACCCTACCCGCTGCTGCCCAGAGACACAATATAGCCACCGGCCAGAGGCACCTCCAGGGAACGGGACCTTCCCTTTTGGGACCCTACAGCTGACTGAGGGGAACTCAGACTGTGACTCCCCACCCGCCAGCCCTCCCAGGAGCTGCTGGCCGGGTGATCCCAGGACAACGGCGCAGAGCCTGAGGCTGAGAGACATAGACCCAGCTTGGGGTCTCTGTGGGTGAATTGGGACTGGCAATTCTCCCTGGTGGGGACATAGATTGAACTCTGGGGCCCAGGTCAGACCTGCAGAAGAGATCCCATGCACCGAGGTCTCACCTTGCCCAGGGCATAGAAAGGATATCCGTGAACAGCCTACTGCGGTGTGTGTGCCTCCAGGGGCAGATCAGTGTCCTAGAGGGCAACCCTCCTCCCAAAAGGAGGCCGTGCACCCAGCGCAGGTGGCGTTCCTGCACAGGGAACCTCCCCGCCGGCATCACAGGGAGGGAGGCCTGGTGGCATGTGGTCTGGCTTGCTGGCAGAGGCCCAGGAGTAGCTGCGGAGTTGGGGAGGGTGGAAAGAAGCGAGGCCTGCTCCACACTGCGGGTCTCAGACAGCCCCACCCCCAACACACAGACTTTCTGGCTGAGCGGGGCCATTCCAGCCCCTCCCTGGCAGCTTTTCCTGGAAGCAGAGAACAGAACTTTGACCCCTGCTAATGGCATTGGTGGTACCTGAGGGCAGGCTTACCCAACCCAGCTATGCCCAGACTTACTCCAAGACCAGCCCTCACTGAGGGGGAGAAAAGGACACACCTGGAAGTCTCAGGGCCCCACCCACCACCTGAGACACAAGAGTGCATCTCTATAGGAACAAGAGCTGGTTACTGGACACAAAAACAACAGCGTAGCCTGCTCCTCTGAGCAAGCGCCACATAATGACAGGGAGGACACCCTGAATACCCTTGTCACAGCACCTACTGACTCATTATACAGGGAGTGGTCGAACCTCACCCACAGACACCACCTAACGGCTCAGAAACCAAACAAGGTGTGTGAATACCCAAACAAAAACCTAAAGGAAAGAAACAACAACTCATGGACGTGGGAAGAAATCAGCGAAGGAACTCCAGAAATATGAAGAACCAAATGGAAAACAAACCCCCAAAGAAATAGACACCAACCCCCTAGAAATAGACACCAACCAAAATCAGGCACCCAAAATGAGAGAAAAGGAATTCCGAATGTGGATCATAAGAAAATTCAATGACCTGCAAGAACAACTCAATAACCAACACAAAGAAACCACAAAAAGCCTCCAGGACCTAGAACAAAAGTTCACTAAAGAAATAGACACAATGAAGAAAAGTTTAACCGAACTCAGGGAAATGAAGAATCAATTCAGGGAACTACAAAATACAGTGGAAAGTCTCAAGAACAAGGTAGATCAAACAGAAGAAAGAATCTCAGAGATTGAAGATAACACCCTCCAACTAAATAAAACCGTCACAGAGATAGAGCAGAAAAACGAGAAAAGAGCAAAGCCTACAAGAGATGTGGGATTATTTGAAGAAACCTAATGTGAGGGTCATAGGGTTAGCAGAAAAGGAAGAAGACAACACTCAAGGGTTGGACAAGCTATTTTGAAGACATAATAGAGGAAAATTCCCCAGGCCTTACTCAAAATCTCGATATACAAGTTCAGCCTGACCAAAATATCAACTAAAGAGGCCCTTCTAAGAGCTGTAAGAGGAAAGTAGCAAGTAACATACAAGGGAAAGCCACTTCGAATAACACCAGACTTCTCTAATGAGGCTTTACAAAGAAGGAGAGACTGGGGCCCCATTCTCACTCTTCTGAAACAAAACAATGCTCAGCCTAGAATCTTATTCCCTGAAAAACTAAGCTTCGTATATGAAGGAGAAATAAAGACATTCCCTGATAAGCAAAGTTACAGAGAATTCCTCAAGGCAAGACCAGCCCTACAAGAAGTACTCAAAAGAGTGTTACACACGGAACACCATAATAAAAACTCACGAATATGAAAACAACCAAAACCCAAAGATTAAAGGCCAGCTATTACAATGGCTCAAGAGAAAATCAAGCAACAACATCATCCCAACAGAAGGACAGTAATCTACCTTACTATCAGTTCTCTCATAATGTGAAGGCTTAAACTCTCCATCAAGAGACACAGGCTGCTGAATAGAGAGAAAATACAGGCCAAGTATATGCTGTCTTCAGGAAACAC